AGTTTGGGGGGGGATCCGAGGACTTAGTGTGAAGCTTAGGATGTCGATGAGGGTTCCTTTACGAGTTCCTTCAGGGGCTCGATAAGGGTTCCTTTAAGAGCGCCATAAGGGCACCATAAGGGTACTATAAGCGTATTATCGGGTGTAGGGTTTAGGGTTATTACAGGTATGACCAGTCGAATGAGCCCAGAGCCGGGAAGCAAGGGTTTAGGGTTTAGGGTATAGGGCTTTTAGGGTTTAGGGTTTAGGGTTTAGGGTTTAGGGTCTAGGTGTGTGTCAAGCAGAGCTTCCTGTTTGTAGACGGGTCTTCGCAGCCGTTTCTGTAGGGTTTACGGCGTATGCGGTGCTTCGCAGTTCGGGCTTGCGACTTAGAACCTGCTGCAGAACCAATTTTGGGAGCACTACCCATAGGCCCTAAAGTAGTTCCTTTTTGGGGTTACCTTATAAGATTGTATATATGAACCCCCCAAAAAAGGAACTACTTTAGGGCCTATGGGTAGTTGTCTGCTCAGGATCCGGTAATACGGAGCAGCGAGGAACTACACTAAACCCTAAACCCTAAACCCTAAACCCTAAACCGACTACTACGACCCAGGGAAAGCCGCCTGTCGTGATCCCCTGCATTTCGCTAAGGTTGAACCCATGGGCCCCTAGTATGGGCCCTTAACCCTGGGATCCTTATATATCTACTATATACCCTATATGTACCCTTAAGGGTCCCTGGAAAGGCCTAAGGGTCCATATTAGGGGCCCATACTTGTAATCTTAGAATTTCTCCGAGGCCATCCAGAAGCTAGAGTACCGCTGGGGAAGAGTGCCTCGCTATCGCCAGACCCTTCAGGGCTCTGAGGGCTTGGGCGTATAGGGGCTTACAGGGATTAGGGCATATGGCCTAGGAGTTCAGGCTTAGGGCTCAGGGGTTCAGGTCTTGCGGGCTGAAGACGGACCTTTCTCGAAATTCCCGGACAGGCTTAGAGGATCAAAGTGCCCAACGAATCGAGGTTGGGGTCCAGATACTTTCGTCTGAATGGCCTTTTGGACTCAAACGCCCTACTTTTTTTGGTAGTCGGATGGGAACAGGTTTGAGGACGGCCGCAGGCACTTCACATCCAAACTCGCGGCTTCTGCCTTAAAACCCTAAACCCTAAACCCTACACCCAAGCAGAGTTGAAGACGACTTCCTTACAACTGCACCCACTTGCAGATAGACTTCCCGAACCCCTAGACTTGGGGGCAAGTGCCAATTTAATCTAGGGTTTAGGGTTTGGGGTTTAGGGTTTAGGGTGGGCCTTAATCATTACCTGTATTTTGTTTTTTTGGGGGGGCGCCCTATCATAATTATAGCACAACATACCCCCAAGCCCTATTCTAATCATTAAGGCCTCTATATTGCTCGTGTTGTTCATGGCTCAGCCTCTGTTTCGCTCTCCCCCTTGGCTGTCGAAGAAGAAGTCGGCTAGCTCCTTGAATATAAGAAGCATAAAAAGTACAGGGGGGGTTTAGCCAGAACTTCTTCGACTGACAACTCATTGAACGTGAGCAGTTCGAAATGTGGGGTCGTTCCCCGGTTCTTATCTTGATAGTATGTTATAGTGCAGGTGGTGGCTCAGCAAGAAGCGCACTCCCAACAGCGGTATGACGCCTGAGCAACCGTACTTAAAGGATCATGGGACTTAGTAAGTAGGGTTAGAATAATTAAGGTAACTATACTTATATTTACTTATAACCCCGATTAAGGGACTTATAACCTTATTTGCTAAGTCCCATGATCCTCCAAGTATGTGTAAGACCTCGGAGCGTTTTTCCGAGCAACCTAGTGGAGAGAACCGATACTTAAGAACGGCTGTAGTCCGACCTTTCATAAACAGGCCCTACACCCTAAACCCTACGCCCTACACCCTACGCCCTACACCCTAAACCCTAAACCCGACACAAGCATCAATCTCGCCCGTGATGGCAACCCCTGCCTCCCAACCTTAAGCCCTACAGCCCCTTATAAACTCCCCAGGGGCTCCAGTTGAAAGTTTAGGGGTGTAGGGTTTAGGGTTTAGGGTTTAGATCAGCCCCCCCCCCCACATGAAACGAGGTTGCGCGACTCAAGCGTCGCCACTCTGGGAGGACTGTAGAACAGTACTATGAGCTTCAGGGAACCGTGGGGGATGAAGATAGGATACAGCCCTATATGGTCGTTACTTTATCCCTAAGCCCGACAACCCTAAGCACTCTAAGTCTCTGAAAGTTCCAAGCTTTTGGTTCCAACTCTTAGGCCTCCCGTGTTGGGTCTAGCTTAGGGTCTAGGGTTTAAACTACTAGGTTTCCCAGTAGGACCCCCTTTTGCCCTTCTTCTTTTTGGGTTCCCTTATTAAAACCGAATAGTAGAAAAAAGAACATCTTTATTTTTAAGGGGCTACTGGGAAACAGGGTTTGGGGTTTGGGGATATAGGCTTTAGGGAGAAGTTGAAGAAAGCCAAACCTCAGGAACCCTCTAATCCCGTAACTTTTGGGGACAGATTCGGGTGTACCTTAAGAACCCAAAACCTACTTGTTTGTAGGGTCCCTATAAATCCAATATTAGGGTTTATAATAAGAACCTACAAAAAAGTGGGTGTTGGGTTCTTAAGGTAGGAAATCATGTTCCGGAAAGCAGCTGCATAACCGAACTCGGCATGGGCCAGTGCTCGTCCGCCTTGACTGAACACATTTGGGGGTTTCCGAAAATA